TATATATATATATATATATATATATGTATATATACACGTATACACACGCACACACACCTTTTTTTCTCTGCAATATTATTATGGCAAAAAATATTTAATACATATTTATTTTTATTATGGCATTGTGCCATTAAAATGTATATGGTCTTGAAAGAAAATATCCAGTGAATAAACAGTGAATGCTTTTTTCTTGGGTCTGACTAGAGCAGACCTGGCAATAAAAAGACTGAATCCCAAACCTAACCCTCAAACTGCCAGAGGACAAGAGACTTTTTCTAACAAGGTATATACTCTTTATGTCCCACATATTGCAGCTGACTAGGAGATCTGACCATGAGATCTAATCTTTACGGTTGACATTAATGGAAACCTATTTTAGGTGACTATGAGATCTGCTCATTGCAATACTTCTCATTGCAATTGCTTCCACTTTTTTCAGATATCAATATGAGCAAGGAGACTAATAATTCTAATACAGTCTCTTTGAGGAGTTTAACCATGAGCACCAGCTCTGTAAGAGCACGAAATGCTGAGCCGCCATACTATGCTGTACTTCTACTGTGCCAAGGTTGACTTGGCAGATCTACAATACCCTAATCAACCCCTTTACAGATTAAAATTAATTGAATGAATTGCAACATCCCTGGGTTTTAACAAGTTAAAACATTTAAAATTTTGATTCTAATGAGTTTGCATATTGTCGATAATATTTACTTGAAATGAACAAGGGAGAGGTAATGTGTCATTGTCTGAATAATAATTTTTAATTATACCTGTAGCTGCCCTGAGGGGTTGTACTAGATATCTGTGCTGCAGTGATGCATAAACTTTTTATAAATGCAGTTTATTAATCTGAATGTGATTGCTTACATCACAAAGTATAATAGTTGTCAATCCTACCTCTAGCAATATGCAGGATGTTCTTTTACAGTGATGAATTTTCACTTTTAGACACATTCAAAGCTATTTGGGGAAATAATGATCACAGAAAAAATTGCCTGAATTAGTCAACTTAATAAAAACACAAAACATTCTAAGAAGAACAAGACCAGATCTTAACAGTTACCAAAGCTTGTCTTCTATCTTCACTACAGTTTTATGACAGTTCAAAAGCTATGATCTAATGCTTGCTGGATTTAATTTAATTATCCAATAAATGTAATAGTCGACATGTTAAACTGTTATTATTTACTGGGTGGAAAGAATGAGTGTGTAAGTTGAAGACTCTGAAGTTTACATCTTCCCTTCCCCTTCTTTTAAAAGTCAAAACTTTGCTTACTGGATGCCATACTGTAAGCATATGTTGACAACCCTGTTTTGTAGGCCACAGACATATTGTCAGTGACTCACTGGTGGGGATTTCATCCAACCAGTCAATGTTGCGTGTTCTTCATTGCCTCATTCTGACAATGTTTAGTTCTCAGTTCCACTGCTGATGTACTTCCTGAGTTCTACTGCAGACTCTTGGGTCCTACTCTGACCACTGCTTTATTTCCTGACTGTGTTTGTTCTTTAATCTGTTCACATGTTCTGTTCTGCTTACCCCTGGCAATGATCTAAGGCTAAACTCCTTGATTTAGCTTTTGTCTTGTACCTATTCCAGCCAGCAGGAATCAACCCTTGACCTGACCCCAACATTAAACTAGCTTAACTATCAAATTTTTTTCCAACAAAGAGACGCAGCCTAAAGTTAGGGCAACATGAATGGTACAAATTAAGTCTTTATTATTATCTGAAAGTATATGTAGGCAAAACATTTTTTTTATTGTTGGATAAAGTAGGGCACGTTTAGACCTGCTGTCAAGTTTATATTGCTGATTGCGTCCCCCTTGGGGAGATTGGGTGAGCATTGTTACCAAGAAAAAAAGTTAGAGGAGATTAAGTGTTCTAGAGTTGTCTCCAGAACAAGTGGTAAGGGGAAATCTTCAAATGCGGACAACTTTTCATCTCACTTTGGCAGATTTCCTATGAACTCTTGATGTTTTACCATTTGCTAGCCTATCCAAAGAAAAACATTTTGGCTGTAGATACACTTTAAATGATTTAAAGTGACACCAAACTTAGAAGTTAAATCTTAAAAATGCCTTCAAGTACCCTATTAGTAAAATGTATCTTATTTGTGTATCACTCAGTTGTAGATCCTCAAATCATCTCTGAATTGTGCTGAATATGTCCTTCCTTCTGAAGGGTGGCTACTTCCCTTCCCCATGGTCCCTGAGTGTGTGATAAAATTGCCCCCCCTCCAAGCTCACTTCTGTGATGGACTACAATCTCGATGCAAATTATTAGACTAAACGTGAGATTTTGGATAGATTAGCAAATGGTAAAACATCAAGAGTTTATAGGAAATCTGCCAAAGTGAGAGGAAAAGGTGTCCACATTTGAAGACCTCCCCTTACCGCTTGTTCTGGGGGCTTGTTTTGGCCAGCCTTTGGGGTGTGCGAGCACAGAGCGCCATAGCAATTGGGGGGCCAGGCGGCCAACACAGCTCGGCTTCATGGCGGCAGGGAGTAGAGGGGCGGCACAGCTTGCAGCTTCTCCACAGATACCCGCTGCTCTCCACCGCCTGTATGGGCAGAGAGGATCTGG